TGTTGGAATTTCCATAAGGCAGATGAAAAGAAATATTACTAGAAATATCGATATTAATGTGTTTTTCTTCAGGAAATTATTAAATGTTTCGCCATTTTGTAGTAGGTGAAGATATTAACTTCTAGTTCTAGAGTTGTGAATTATTCGTCAGAAGCTTCAAAATGATATGTCAAAAGATCTTCCTTTTCATTTAATTTTTTTCCTAGATGGCCCCAGTCACCATCTTGAAAGTTTTATCTGTCAATTTTACTTCAAAATAAAGTATTCATGCATTCATGCATTAGTTGACCTGTTCAAAAAATAAAAGGGGTGGGCATTAAAGAAATGCCCTGTATATTTCCTTTTTCAATACGAATCCTTGATATATGATGTGTACTGGTATTCCGTAACTTATTCATCGAGGTAAATAGTTCTCGATTATATGATTCGTCAGATTGTGAAAGGTTGGATTGAACAAAGAGGTCTAAAAACTTTTTTTCCAAACAAAAATACCCATTTATTTCATATTGATGAGAATGTTTCCTTTCAATTCCACTTCATCTTTGTCTGTTTCTGAGTGCTCCTATTTCATTCTCAGAATTATTCCGTATTTCATAAACTCGTGGATTCAATAAAAGTATGTAACAGTCAGATTGGATATTGAACGAGGTTGAGAAGTAAGAGAGGTCACGGTAACAAATCTTCGCTACTAATTATTCGGCTCAACGCACAAAACAAATACACAGACTATATTTTGTTTATTGTATAACAAACTTTCATTTATGATGTGCTTGGTTAATTAACAAAGTAAATATTTGATGAATTGTGTGACGTTTTCATTAATCAAAAGTATATAGAGGGTATTTCTAAATTTCATGTAAATATTTAAGAAGATAATTCTATGACTTTCAGCCATTTCAGCCATGTCCTAAAAGGCTTCTTTTGTGACATGTTGAACGTTAATATTTGTTAATTGTTTCAGTCAACTCAACCAATCATCTACTGTTTCTTCAATAATGAAAATATCCACTTCACCTGTAGAACTAAGAAGCTCATCGATACATCATATACCATCCGTTGAAATAGCCAAACCAGTTTCCGAAGCTCCTTCAGTAACAACCGAAACAGTCCATAAAATCGCCAATTCGACCAACACAACAATGTCACCAACAACGGCTTCATTGAATTCTACAGTGACTTCAATCTCATCTCCGTTAACAACGAAGGTGTCGCCTCCAGCAAACTTGGAAATCGACGATAAGTGTCCCGCACTGAACTTTATGCCTGATCTGGATATTTTGACACAGGATGAATTATTATTGACATTAACCGACAATTGCAGGTACGACAGGCTCATCAAACCACCTACACGTGAGCCGTTGGAAGTTTTGTTTCAATTCGATATGAATCACGTCGAAACCCCAGATCACTTGGTAAGTCGCATATTTAAGTCAAGTTAAATAAAAGCTTTTAAAAATTATATTTTTCTCCGTCGCGTATTTCTGATATGTACCGTTCTTGGTGAAATCAAATGTGCCAAGTCAATTGAATCCAAATGGATTGACGAGACAAATGTGCTGTCGTCAGCAATTCTTCGTTTTTTCCAAAAAGTTGTTGATATATAATAAAAAGAGGGTGCCAACGTAACACAAGTCGATTTATTCCGTCAGCATAAATTGGGTACTCGGGATTCGATAAAATCGACGGAATCCATTTCAACCTGATTGGCGGAAATTCTACCGGTGAGGAAATCATTGAAGTATTCGATGAAATGATAGTTGTTTGGCGAGAGGTCTGTGAAGTATGGGGGGTAAGGCAGAACTTCTACGCTCAATTCTTTAAATTTTCGGACAGTGATTTCTGTTGACTAGTGCTAGCTGCTGCTGGTGCAATGTTTGGTACAATTCGTCGATTTCTCCGTAATAGGACTCTGCTGTTATGGTTTGTCCCGGTTGCAGAAATCTTTAGTGAATCACACAAGCCACTGACCACCACACAGTCACCATACAGTTTTTTGTGGTGGGTCGCTCATCGGTGTCCAACCACTGTTCTGAACGTCTCCTCTTGCCGTAGAGGATCCACTCTTTATCACACTTGACGATCTGTTCCAAAAACAAAAGTTTTGGTTGCGCAAAAGCAGAGAAGAACATACCTCGAAACGTGAGAATTTCTATCGATCGTTCAAATCGTAGGGCACCCACTTTTCTAGGTCTTTAACCTTTTCAGTACGTTTCAAAGCATCAGATATCGCTGGGGCTGACGCCCAGGCATCGTTTGTGATGTGTCAGTCTCCACCTCAAATCTTCGTCCTGGACTACTGTAGGTCGACCACTTAGGGGCTCATCTTCGGAGCTAAAATCTCTGGAACGAAATTATGTACACAAACGTCGAACCGTGCATTCATCAATACTATAATTGCCAAATGCCTAGTAGCAGGGGAGCCCAGGATGCAATTTGGGGATTTACTCGAGCGTCATTGAGACATATTAGGTTGCAAAGCTTAGATGATAAGAAGAAGAAAATGTTATATAATATATACCTTTCATCGGTGGGGAAAGCGGCTATAGATTTTTGAATATGTAAAAAAATACTGTTGCATGGACATACTCGAGCGCGTCAGATATTGATAGCATCAATGTCCTACGTATTTTTAATAATGTTGGTATGTTAAT